GATTTCTTGTAAGGAAAGCATGCTTTATTGAAAGAAAAAAAAAAAAGACACCAAAATGAATCATTTCCCTTATTTGTATAGCCTTGGAAAAGAAATTAAAACTATTTTGTTTCAACAATACTTCTTCTGCTCTTGAGAAAAAGAAAAGATCCCCACTAGAAAGCTGCCTGCGGTTGACAACTCCAATTCTCTTCAAATGGATTTTTAAAAATCTCTAATGGGTATCTGCACTGTGTCATTTCTGTGCCAACCCAAGCCCCAAGCCAACTCATACCACTGCTACCACATTTTGATTGCTAGACTCTTTTTCCAAATGGATCCGAGGCAGGGCAGAGATGGGCTAGCTGCTCACCGACTGTTCCCTCTTCTTCCTGGGCACATGGCTGGACTACACTTCCTGGCATCCCTGGTACTGAGCTGTGACTATGCGACTAAGTTCCCACCAGTGGGATGTAACTGGAAGTGATGTGGGCCCCTCCAAGCCCAGCCCAGATAACACTCCTCTGCACAACCCTCCAGCTCTTGCCCTTTTGTCCCAGCTTTTAGAAGATAAACCCTGAAACCTTGGAAGCCACATGGGAGAGGGCAGAGCCACAAGATCAAAGGCATCTGTGGCCCTGGTCACTGCTTGGAAGAAAAGCCCACTACAGCTCAAGTTACCTCTGTTCCACACTTTACATGCTTCCATCATGCGTGAGCCATTTCACATTTTTCGATGTGTTTGTTACAGCAGCTGGTGCCTGAAGCATCTGGAAGTCCAGAGGTGTTTGCAAAATTATGGAGTACTGATAGATTATTGTAAAATTATGGATCTAACCACTGTGTGCCAAATCAGATACGAGCTCATTAAAAAAACACAAATAATCTAAAACTAAGACTAGCCTCTACACTAGGAAAACCATCATACACGTCAAAAGCTTAAGAAAAATGTTGAAAACTTTGAAATATAGAATCTTCTTTTCATTTATTTAATCTTTCTGTGGCACAAGAAGAGTCTAGTATTAGTGACAAGAACGTCTTGATTCAGCCTATTAAACAGCAGTGCATCATGGGAGTATAGTTTGTGTCAGAGCATTGGGACAGAGGGACATTTCTGACAATTAGACATTTCTAAGATTTTAAATAAAATCAGTTCGAGAGGATTGGAGTGGTCAGCTATAAGCTCTTGTCTATATTTAGTAAATAACAGATTAGCATCACTTTCTTAACTTCAGCATTGTATGATTATATTCCATTATGAGAGAACTACAGATAGTAATCCATGACTGATCATAAAATACATCGTTTTATTTAAATGTCAAAATGTACAGGGATATACATTTGTTCTGTGTACCCACAGGAAATACAACAGGGGACAGTCTCAGGAATTTAATCCTCAGGTTAACCCTGGGAAATTTAAACCTCAGCTCCAACCTAAGTCCAGTTAAGTAAATTATTTATTTTGCTGTCCAATGTATGAGACCTAACCTAGTTTAAGGCCATCCAGTTAAAGATGTAATGCCAAATGAAATTACGTACTGGTTATCAAAAAAACAATCATGTCGATACAGTACAGACCTTATAATCCAATGGATTATCAATGGCACATCTGGAAAACTACCTTTGATCATCAAAGATGTGATCCAGACTCAGATGCGTGTTAAGTAACTTACTAAACATATCTCTCAAATCAGTCTATTCTCTCCATCTCTACGGCTGCTACCTTTATCTAGGTCACCACACTCACCTGACCTACTGAAGCATCTGCTCTCGACCAAATTGTGTCCCCACAATGACCTCCTTACAGCACATGCCATTTCACATTACTCTCTTGCTTAAAATTCTCTCATGTGTCTTCATTGGTATGAGAATAAAACTGGAACTCCATCTTGGCCCGCCACCCTTACCCAATCCCAACCTATCCTAGTGCCAACCTCCCCACTCCCTTCCCTCCAACCCAACTAATCTCCTTTATATTCCTTGAACATCCCAAGCTCTTTTCCATCAGGGCTTTGGGACTTCTAGTTCTCTCTGTCTGAATGCCCACCCTCCAGCTCTTTACATTGGTGATGTTGCTTCATCCTTCACATTTAATTCACGCCATCACCTTCCCCAGTTACCCTCTTGCCCTGTTTATGTCTTTCACAGCACTTGTAACACCCTGTACTTTTAATCTGTATTATCTGAAAATCTGGACACTCTATGGGGACATGAAGCTTTCCTTTTCTTTTTTAATACCTTGTTTTAGGCATCATATCCTCAGAGACTAATGGATACATGGATGGATGGCTGGATGGATGGATGGATGGATGGATGATGGATAGATGGACGCAATGTATAGGCCAGTGATGGCAAACCTATGACACGCGTGTCAGAGGTGACACGCGAACTAATTTTTTTGGTTGATTGATTTTTCTTTGTTAAATGGCATTTAAATATATAAAATAAATATCAAAAATATAAGTCTTTGTTTTACTATGGTTGCAAATATCAAAAAATTTCTATATGTGACACGGCACCAGAGTTAAGTTAGGGTTTTTCAAAACACTGACACGCCGATCTCAAAAGGTTCGCCATCACTGGTATAGGCAGCACTTTTAGCATTCTTTGTCCCATGTACCATTCATAAAAACCTGTATTATCACATTTGACAAGAAGTGTTACTGCTCTATCCCCTGTCCTGGTGGGGATAGATTCCTATTCCAATCCCAATTCCTTTCAGTTGTTTCATTACTCAAAGAAGCTTTTTTTTTTAATTTACCTTTCTGACTGTGTCTGTGCCTTCAACACAGTCACAATGATTTCCTGCTCCTCAATAAGGAAAGCACACTCGATCTTGTCACAGACACATTTATCACACATGGATCCACCCTAGGCCCTGCTGACATGTGCTTGTTTGTTTGTTTCATTTTAGCCAACCTCGTTAGGACTTTAGGTCTCACAGCGTGAATTCCTCGAAGTCAGCCTGAGCACACGCCACATGCAAATGCCGGTGCTTTCCCAGCCTCCTCGGTATGAAGGTAAACAGTTCTATTCCCCGAGGTTCAGGAATGCTTTAATGCCTAGATATGCCAGCACTGTATTTAGGACAGCGTCGGTGGCATGTCAAATGTTGGACCATTAAGAATGTCAGTAGACACCACCCCCAGAAGAGGGCCATCCGAATTTCGGTTCTCTTAATTCATCTCTCTTGGGAATACAAAGAAGTCTTTGCTCTGGGACCATCCATGTGGCCCTTCACAGTTTTCCTCTAAATATCCAGGTTTTCAATATTGATAATCCCAAGAGGATGTGTCTTAATATTTCATCACCTATAACATTTGGGGATACCAGGCTATCCTGGCTTTGAATTTTATGATTCAACTTATGAAAAAGCCCTTTCGGGGGGAAACAGTGTATCTCAATGTAGAATGGAACCACAGGCCACCTCCTGGAGTTTCCACATCTAGGGCTGTGGCTCTCAGAGGGGACAGTAAATGAACCCCAGGACTCTGTGCAAGCCCAGCGCACGTTGCCGTGTTGTGTGTGGCACTGGGTCAACATGACAGCATGATAGCTCGTTTTTCCTGTTCTGACTTAAATGGAGGAGAGTCGTTCGTACAGATAGTTTCCCCAAAGCTCCTCCGTAGGAATCACAGGAAGTACAGGGCTGGGTCTGGGTGGGGGCTCTGGGAATGCCAAGGCAGGCTGTCCGCCAGCGCCTCTGAGGATGCCAGCGTGTGTGACCACGCTTTTCCCCACTCTGAGCCACGATGAAGAAACGCTCACTACTCCAGCTGAACTTCTGAACTCCAATCCAGAGCTCAACATGAGAAAACTCAACAAGCCCCTACGGAGTGCCTGCCAAGGACATTGCCTCCATGGAGGGAGGTTATGAGGTGCAGTCCTGTCCCCCACGTGAAGGCAGAGGTGGTGGAGGTGGTGATGTTACCTCATAAGGAAGTGGCTGGTATCTTTACCCAAAAAGTCCCATAGTGCTCTCCTCTTATTATTATTTTTAGATATATTTTTATTGATTTCAGAGAGGAGGGGAGAGGGAGAGAGTCTAGAAGGTGATTGCATGCCCATACTATAATAAGTATATGTTTTGTTTTTAAGAAACAGCAGGTCAGGGCAAATGGACAGACAGGCACATCTGGGAATTGCGGTATCTCCATCACAGGCCAGAGTCGTCCACTAAATCTAGGCTAGGCCTGGCTGGGAAAGGAGCTGATGCTTATCACGCTGCAAAGACTGAGCCTGCAGCTGACACAGCCAGGAAATGAGCAAAAGCAATTGGAAAAGAGAGCTATCCGGACTCCTAAGCTACTCAAAGCGATCCAGGGAGGACTCAGAAGCAGATTTTAAACAGCAGAGTGATACTGCCTCTAATAAACCCCTAAACACACTAGAATGATGGGCTGCCCGGGGTGCTTTAGAAGCCGTGAGAATGTGCTGGTCCATCAGAGCCCTGTGCGTAAAGAGCAGTCAGAGGCTTAATTGTTCAGTAAGCAGCTGTGTGGTCCAGCCACGGCTCCCCTCGGGCTCTGCCTCACCTGCTCCCTCAACAAATGGCCTTACTATGTGCATAGCACTGTGCTAGGCTTCTGACTCAACTAGAAGAAGCCAGTATCTGGACAGGGGGTCATCATTTGGAGGTGGAATGCAAGTTCTGCAGAACAAGATGTTGAGGGCCATCCCAGGACACCCCAAGAAAACTGGCATCTCTACCAGCTGGAGCTTCTATTTAAAAAAAAAATATATATATATATGTTTTTTATTGTTGATTTCAGAGAGGAGGGGAGAGGGAGAGATAGAAACATCAACGATAACAGAGAATCATTGATCAGCTGCCTTCTCTATGCCCCCTACAGGGGATTGGGCAGCAACCTGGTCATGTGTCCTGACCAGGAATTGAACCGTGACCTCCTGGTTCATAGGTGGATGCTCAACCACTGAACCACACCAGCTGGGCAGTGCTCTCTTCTTGAAGGCCCAAAAGAAAAACCTTCCCAGGACTCAGTATCAAGGAAAGCTCTGCTTCTACTGGGGGTTTAACCTTGTTACTGGCTTGTTCTGTCTTTTGGACACTGTGATGACTTTAACAGATCATATTTTCTCTTTGCTTCTAGACAGATGTGCAGCCCTCTGCAATGATGACGCTGGCCATTATGAGGCATTCTCCGGCCCTAGCTCTACCCCTGACTCCACTCCGTTTACTTGCACTTGCTTTCCCTCAACTCTGATTTAACTACTTTTTATTCTCTACTATTGTGTATCTTCTATAAGCTGCTTCAAGTCCTTTTGTACACAGTGGATTTTGCACCACCAGATCCTGTAAAAATACAATGTGGCCTCAGGTTTGAATCCTGACCTGTCAGTTATGTGACCTTGGGCAAGTCGCTTAATATTTCTAAGCTTTATTTCCTCCTTTTAAGTTGAGGATAATGGCATTTACATTACATAGTGGCTGTGAGAACTAAAGGTAATTTACATAAAGACTTGGTACTTTGTAACTATTAAATAAATAGTATCCTTTATTCTTATTAATCACTGGGCAGATCGTTGCCAAAGAATACCTAAAGGCAATGTGTGGAAGACAGGGTCCCAGACCCACGGGAAGTGTCACGTGACAATAGAGGCAGAGATTGGAGTGACGCATCCACAAGCCAACAAACACCAAGGACTGCCAGCCGTCACCAGGGGCTAGAAGAGGTGAGGAAAGGTTCTTCCTTAGCAGGTTTGGAGGAAACATATTCCTAATGATTCCGCTCACAGCCTTCTGAGAAAATAAATTTCTGTTATTTTAAGCCACCCAGTTTGTGGAAACTTTCACAGCAGTTCTAGGAAATAAATACCTCCCGCAACTCCTTTTCTTAGACACCACCCCAAACTCAGGCATTTCTCAAACATTAAAAAAAAAAAAAACCAAAACCCTAAAACTTGGAGCATGTGAGTCTTCTGTCAGTCTAAAAGAAGCTCACTTAAATTTTTCCATAATAATGCCTTTTTTGTTCTTTATGAATGTCAAGAAACCTGATGACCACATACAAGATGATAGTGATTAAAAGAAGACACTGTCCTCATCTATGCAATAGAGGCAACTCCTTTTAAAATATTTATCCTAGACAAGTGGACATCCCTGTCCATCACCCACTCCACGCCTGTCATTCCTTTCTAGACTACAGGCACTCTCTGATGTGGTCTGGGAAGAAAACCCACATCTACTGCAGGGTAAAGTGGAGGATTATTCTCGAAGGTGTTACCTTTCATTGCCAACGTCTGAAACATTATGCACTCAGAAATGAAATCCCCATTGGGGTTCAAATGGACCAAGAGAAACCATAGTGTGACAAACACATGGATGGAAGCTGTTCTGGGAATCCCAAAACTGAGGGTAGGTTTTACTGATGCTGTGTACTCATATATTTGAATCCTTACTCCACCATGTTAAATTCCCTTTTATCAGGGATCATTCTCTTAGAGCTCAAAAGACTCCTGTGTGGGAAGTTCCTATAGGTATAACCTGAAGCTGGGCTAAAAACAGAACCAAGAGTAAGTTTGCCCCAAGAGTCGCTCTTAGGGTAGTATGATACAGTAATAGCTCATCGGAGCATTTAAAACAAGAAGTGGCACTATTGGGGGTGAAAGGGGGAGGGATGATCTGAACATGTCTCAGCAGGTGAGCCTCACAGGTTAATACCCAAACTTGAAAAACATGAGAAATCGCATGCAGTCTTTTGTTCAACAAGCAGTTAGTCTCTTACAAATGGATGCCATGAAAAACAAAACTAAGGCACATGTCTGGCCTGCAGGGAAAGATACATGAGTCAACGACACAATGCAAAACTATGTGTTACCACCAGAGTAGAGGTGCTCGCGACCTAACCAGCCCCAGGGAATCCCAGAGAATAGCAACGGGAGTAAGAGAGGACACTGAATGGACGCTGGTGCTTCCATTTGCCATTCTGTGGACTCAACTGTTCTCAACCCCTGACTTTGTCCTACCCGGACCCTATACCTCAACTAAACCCCAAAATAACTTCCCTGTTATTGACATATGACTTCCTTGGAGTGCAGCATCCACAAGCCAAGGAACACCAAGGACTGTCAGGCAGCACCGGGAGCTAGTCATCCAACAAAGAATTATTGAGTACCCACTGTGTGCCAGGTGCCAAGATAGGATCCAGGTCTGGTGACCCATTTATCCTGGGCCTCAGATTCACAAAGGGTTTATCATGTAGATTATTTATATTCTTAGCATATAGACAGTCACAGAGATACACTTACAGGATTAAACCTCAAAGCATACTACACTTTTTTATAATCCTGTCCTGGCAATTAAATATATATGCAAGTCGCCCAACACCCAAGCCACACATCATCCATGAAAGTGACCCAGGTCTCCCCTGATCTCTTAGGGGTCTGCTGGGCACTCAGAGGGTGCAGCCAACAAGCCAGCTGTTGCACTTGCACTCGCAAAGCTTAGTGTTTGGTGTGGAGACAGATATCAAGTAAGGACACCTAGTTAAACTGATACCCATAGCTACTGCCTGGGAGGACAGGGCATGAGCGGAGGCTTAGTTGACAATCCTGGCTCTCATGTATCTGAAATGTTTGAATTTTTACAATAAGAACCTATCCAGGTGTTACTTGTGTAGTCATTATACATGTCTACATCTGGTACATCACTGAGAGAGAAAGAGACAAGGGGACAAGAGAAAGAGACCAGGTGTTACTTGTGTAGTCATTATACATGTCTACATCTGGTACATCACTGAGAGAGAAAGAGATAAGAGAAGAGACAGAGGAGAGGCTAATCCCAAGGCAGGAAACAGGAGGAATGAGAGAATGCCTAGTTCAGCCGTGGGCAAACTATGGGGCCCACGGACCGGATCCGGCCTGTTTGAAATGAATAAAACTATTGGAAAAAAAGACCGTACCCTTTTATGTAATGATGTTTACTTTGAATTTATATTAGTTCACACAAACACTCCATCCATGCTTTTGTTCCGGCCCTCCGGTCCAGTTTAAGAACCCATTGTGGCCCTCGAGTCAAAAAGTTTGCCCACCCCTGGCCTAGTTGATGGAGCTTCAGGATGGGTCTCCAGGGTGGGTGTGGTGCTAACAGAGCTGCACACAACTCTGTGGTGGCTGTTGTCCCCACGTCCTGTGGGAAGCACGGCCAGACACGGACACAGGCATCCCATCTCTGAGCTCTCTGCTGGGCCCAATCACCTACTGACCCCAAATGAAACGAATTACACTCCAGTTCTGAGTAACATGGATGATCAACATGTTACTCCAACATGTTACTCTCAAGTGCTGGATTGAAACTTGCCTTTCCACGAAGAGCAATGAATCTTACCCGCAGATGCCAAATGCCCCTGAGCTGAATCACAGTTATCTCGTCTAGACTGAAGTGGCTCATTGATATTCTGTCAAACAAATTGTGTCCTGCCCATTACTATTCACCGTGTGATCCACATGCACTTCCCACAGTTCCATCAACAACACAGCAAGCCTGCCAACCAGCTTCCCCTCTGAGGAGAGCTTGACCAATGTAAATAATCTCAAGACATCACTAGAGAAATGAGAACAGAGATCAGGGAAACAGTAGCCATGGCCACACACAGCCCACTAGTGACAGGCTGGCCAGTTGTGACACATTTCGGCAAGAATGTTTCCTTACACTGTGTTTCTTTTCACTTTTATGATTATATTTTGAGATATATTCAGAGGGGATGGCTTTTAGGAACAGAGGTATGACTAAAGACCGATCATCCAATAGTGCTTCTGATCAGAGTCACTGTGTGAGTGTGAGTGTGAGTGTGTGTGTGTGTGTGTGTGTGTGTGTGTACTATTTTGTGTTAACATGGCAAGTTCCCCCTTTGGAGTGCACATGGTTGTTAGGAATATGTACACAGTAAAGCCAGTGCAGAGAAACACAATTGAATGCACCTGTGCACCAGGTGAAGGCTGGCAGAGGACGAGCCTCCCGCAGAGAACTTCATGTCTGACTTCTGCTTTATGAGGTCAGTGGAAGCTTGCATGGTGGAGAGGGTTGCCAAGTAAAATAGGGAAAACCCAGTTAAGTTTCAATTTGGAATAAACATTGAATGATTTTATAGGTACATCCCAAATATTGCCCGGGTGTTCCGTGTTTTTATTTGCTAAATCAGGCAATACTAACGGTGGGAAAGATATGCATGTCAACCAGCTTTCTTCTTTGTCAATGAATATTGTCAACATTTACAGGACTTGGGGAATGAGGTCCTTGCTCCAGGGAGGGCCTATCAATGACTCCTCCTCCCTGAAAGACTCGAGCAGGCCTGCTTCTCCATCACAGACCCCTGGAGGTCCTATACTGTACCTTACCCCTCCTTCTTCAAGACCTTGCCCAGTGACTGGCATGTGCTAGGTGCTAAAACTACAGTTTGCAATAAATGAGGACATGATGTGGAATGTCTATAAAAGCAGAAAAATTTGGGTGAAGGAAATAAAATGACAACACTGTACATGGAAGAAAATACAGGGAACTTAAAGATGGTTAACAACAGCCATGAGTTAGAAGTTGTTATGTGAGGTATACAAGAAGGTGTTGCCCTCAGATGTGCTTTGCGCCTTATAGAGGCTGTGTGTGTACTTACAAATATACGTGTGTATTTATATAAACATATATGGTTTTTTAACGAAAAGTTTCAAGAATAGTACATTGAATTCCCATGTATTCTATGTTCAACTGAATTGTAACTGAGTCTTATTAGATGGAAGCCCTGGCTCGGTTTTAAGTAAAGGAAGGAATAGTCAGAAAATATCAACATTTTCTACCCCAGCCAGTTGCTCAGTGGTTAGAGCGCCAGGGCACATGAGGGAGGCAACCAATCGATGTGTCTCTCTCACACTGATGTTTCTCTCTTCCTCTCTGTCTCTCCAACCTCCTTTCTACTCTCTCTAAAAATCAGTGGGGGGGAAAATATCCTCAGGTGAGGATTAACAACAACAATAAAAGAATATCAACATTTTCTAAAGGCAACAGAAAACCCAGCCAGGTTAGTCCTTTATTTGATAAATGCCACGATCGACTGACCAACTGTTTTGTTTTGTTTTGTTTTATCTTTTGTGAGGCCTGGAAAAATCACATAAAAAGAGAAAATATCCAAATCTAGAAGCTTAATTTAACAAGATTAGCCTTACAATCAAATAATCATAGTCACTTGGTCAATGTCTATGATTAAATTCTTGGAGGATCCCTTTCTCTTATGTCAGATTGGTGGGTGAGTGTACAGAGACACAGCCTACAGTTCTTTCTCAAATACTCTGCACCAGTCTTGTTACTATGATCTATAGTACTGGGATGGATCATCCAGGCTTCTAGGAATTTCCAAAGTCAATGTAGTCACCCAAAATGAAAAAAAAAAAGCCTCAGAGGTAAAGGAAAGGGGCCGAAACCCTGAGAACCATACAATGACAAATGAGAAAACTCCTCCCCACTGAAGATATCCAGGTGTATAAAAGGCATGCAACGGCATACGTAGACCTAGCACAGCGCATTATGAATCCTTCGGCTCAGAAGAAAAATGAACACCCAGCCTGACGTGATTCGAAAGTGTGTGTGGCCGGCGTGCCTCATGGGCCTGTTCATCACTGGCACGCTCTCTCTGGGCTGTGACTTGCTACATATTCATCTTCGTAGAGTCACCTGGCAAAATGTGAAGCTTCTGACCAATATGAGCAAATCATTTCCTCTGGAGTGCCTACGAGAAAACAACACTTTCCAGTCGCCCCGAGAGGTCCTAGCATATAGCCAGCCTCTTTTGCACAGAGACATCAAGGGGGTCTTCTATGAAATGTCCATGCTGGCCTTCAACATCTTTGCTCAATGCACCTTCCAGTCCACTGGGGAAGAGAAACACCTGGAACAAATCCAAACCGGACTTGATCAGCAACTGCAGTACCTGGAACAATGCTTGAAAGAAGAGAAGGGAAATGAAGACAAGGAAGAGATGGAGGAGGATGAGAAGAGACACCCGGGAGCTAGGACCCCCCAGCCCAGCAACTTAGAACTGAGGAGGTATTTCCACAGGATAAGAAGTTTCCTGAAAGACAAGCAGTATAGTCACTGTGCCTGGAAGATCGTCCAAGAGGAAATCAGAAGATGTTTCTACTACTTTCAGACACTCATAGAACTACTCAGAAGGAAATAAGGTAGATTTTTTAAAAACTAACATTTCATTTCTCTCCAAAATCTCCTCCTCCTTTATTTTCTTTTAAGAATTGCCAGGCTATTCTTTAAGCCTGCTCTCGTCTGGATTGGTGGTGGCGTATGTAATGTTTACTGTCTCTAAAGTTTGGCCTTGCAACATCAGCCACATTCACTTAAGAGAGGGAAGGCCCACCGTCCCCGGAGTGACCAAGAGTCTTGTTACAAAGTTTTTTGGTTTTTGTTTTTTTTAAATATATTTTATTGATTTTTTTACAGAGAGGAAGGGAGAGGGATAGAGAGATAGAAACATCAATGAGAGAGAAGCATCGATCAGCTGCCTCCTGCACACCCCCTACTGGGGATGTGCCCACAACCAAGGTACATGCTCTTGACCGGAATCGAACCTGGGACCCTTCAGTCCGAAGGCTGACGCTCTATCCACTGAGCCAAACCGGTCAGGGTTGTTACAAAGTTTTAAAGGAATGCTATTCCCTCTCCTGCTTCTACTCTGCTCCTCTTTCCTTTTTCTATTTTGTACGTGCTTTGAACTTCACCTTTCAACTTCACCAAGCCAATGGCTAGAGAATATGGATCAGAGAATGTCTGAAAATGGAACACCTCAATGACTGAGCCCTCTTGCTGCCAGGTTGTTTAGTCTGAAGTTCAACTTGTTTAAAGAGCTTATACAAACTTCCATAATTAAAACCCTCCCTTTCTCTCCCTGCTCTCAAAAAGAAGGAAAAAAACCCACAAAACTTGAAATTTCTGGCCCATTTGTTTCTCAGCTTGGTTTATTTGAAATGGTATGAAGTTTGTAGGAGAGCGAAGATCCACTCTCTCGTTTGGGATGGTTGAGTTAGAAACCATTAAGATCCTGTTTAACCTTTGGGAGCCCATGATTCGAAGGCAGATAGACAGCACTGTTCATTCCTAAGGCATATTATTTGACTTCTACATGTAAAGGGGTGGAAAATGATACAGAAAAGTGTAGTATCTGACTTCATTGTTTTGTGTGTCTGAAATGAAAGGCCCACGGTCATACTATGGTAGAATTTCATATTGTATTTTCCCAGTTAGAAGATCACTTTCTCCATGTTAAGTAAATTATTCTAATAATACACAACACTTGAATATATTTTATCTCTTTATAAGTTATTTTGTACCCAGATTACCTAGATTATTTACTTAAAGTTTCTTATGTGGTCCCTCATCTGTATTAATCCACCGTCTAGCTGAAATGAACTTTCTCTTCCTCTTTCTCCTCCAACCCATTTCAGAATCACCTGTCTATCTTCAAGCAAGAACTCTAGCATCGAGGTTTCGGCTACACAAATTCACAAAAGAGGGTAAAATGTACCTGGGTCAGCCCCTGGGAGAAATCTCCTGCTATTTGTTTTAACAGTGTGCTGCTAAAGTGCTTAGATTCAAGATTCATCCAAGTATAGGACTCAAACAGTACAGCCACACGGGAAGTCTTATGCTAAAACTGAGGCAAACTTCAGTCAAAAAGTTAGAATAATTAAAAGAACAAGTTGTGCATCATGGTATGCTGGTTATCAGTGGAAGGAGCAGACCATAAAATGAGTTAGTATCACCCACTCAATAAAACATCTTATCAACAGAATTGTTCTACAAAAAAAACCGAACAACACGAAAACAATAGTACTACAAGCTGTAAAGGAGTTGGGGTGTGCAAACTACTTAAGCAGAAAGTATGCACTTGGATTTTCCATGAATTGCTCTAACAATGCCTTTGCATGGCCTCCCTAATAACTCTTCTGGGATTATGTCAGTTACTTTAGTAATTTATGTTTGTAGTCTTGCCAAATGTTTGCTGTACAAGAGGGAAGAGATCGTACAGGCAGGGGCAGAAGTCAGAACAGAATGCTTTTGCTAGGAGCACCTCTAGATGGAAAAAAAAAAAACCAAGGCCACTGAAAAACAGGTAAGGACACAAACTAGTATCTTCCCTAAGGAAGAAACACTAACAGATAATGTGTTTCATCTCATTTAATGATTTTTAAAAAAAGCGAAAGGAGACGACAATAAGATACTCCCTTCCCATCTGTCTGGCAGAGATGAAAAAGAATACTACAGAGCAGTGGTTCTCAACCTTCCTAATGCCGCGACCCTTTAATACAGTTCCGCATGTTGTGGTGACCCCCAACCATAAAATTATTTTCGTTGCTACTTCATAACTGTAATTTTTCTACTGTTATGAATCGTAATGTAAATATCTGATATGCAGGATGCATTTTCATTGTTACAAAACAAACATAATTAAACATAGTGATTAATCACAAAAACAGTATGTAATTATATATGTGTTTTCTGATGGTCTTAGGCGACCCCTGTGAAAGGGTCGTTCGATCCCCCAAAGGGGTCACGACCCACAGGTTGAGAACCGCTGCTATAGAGGGTGAGAGGGGTGTAGGGTATAGGAAAGACCCTCTGTCTATTGTTGGGGGAGGGTCAGCTGGCACAAGTCCCTCCAGGACAATAAGGCAATCAAATATCCTAAAAAGGCAGCAGCTCCTCCGACCTAGCTCTCCTACCTCCAGAAACTTATTCCATGGAAATAATCGGAGAAGACTGTTCCCCAGAGCATTGTTCATCATATTCCTCCTCCCTTTGTTTTCATTGTCACCTCTCTGTAGTTTCTATTTTCTACAGTAATTTTTGAGGGGATCTCATTCTAAAATTAAAGAAACCTAGAAGCTTATCTTCCACTACAATTACCCTGCGTTCCTTGTTGGGGCAGCTGGGACCAGCAGTGCCGGGCCACACTGTTAAGGACGCCTTTGGGCACTTAAGAGCCTCCCAGCTCTTGTTGCCGCTTCTCTCCTGCTGCTGTGGCTGCTGCTGCTAAATTTCAAACCTTCCTCGGGGACCATTTTCTTCATGAAGTGTTTGTAAAGTGCCTCAGGTGCTTCAAAGATTTTACTTTTTTCTTTTGTTGATGCCACTAGTAAAACCCAGAAAGGGCTGGAGAAAGTGCTCTATGTGTCCACCTTCCTGATTAGCAGGCTCCTTTGTTCTTTATTAAGAGTAAGCGCCTCCCCTACCCCCCCAGTGTCTTATGTCCACTGGTTATGCTTATATGCATGCATACGAGACCGGGGGAATGCCAAGGGGCGGGGGGAAGGAGACATATGTAATACTCTTTGTAATACTTTAAACAATAAAAAAAAAAAGGAGTAAGCGCCAAAGTCCTGTTGCGTCAGGTAAAGGGGAAACTTCTAGATCTGCAGAGACAAGTGCACTTAAAATGCCCAAGTAGGTACCCAGGTGGCAGGTGTTCAGATGGAACCGTCCCCCTTCCCCTGGCTTGGGGTAGGGATTAAAAGGTGGGAGATCAGGGGCTGATTGGCCATCTCACAGGAAACACCGGTATAGGTATGGCTCTTAGTATCTTAGCAACAGGTGCACAGACTCCACCTCCTCACAGACAGAGCCCCTTCCTGGGCACCCTGAAGGAGGACCCTGCCTTCTCAAAGGGGTTACTCTGCTTTTGCCCTAGTTCCTTAATTAATAGCCCACACTCACTAAGAACAAGCACTGCGTGTGAGAACCTAACTTGTGAGGGGAACGCAGGACAAGAGGGCCACCCATCATCCAGCGGGCGCCACCCGCAGGGCCGCTCCGGGCCAGTCCCAGAGGTTGGCGCTTGGAAACGCGAACGCTGCCCGGGCGGCATCGGCACTGTGGCCTTCGCGTCGTCCTGTTCCAAACGCGGCCAGGGCTCTGGGATTTACACTTGGGACCCTGAGCGCAGTCAGCATTCCACGTTCACTCTGTAGGGGGCCACCTCCCCGTTCCTGCCGAGCGAAGGTTTGAGGCGCCCTGGGTTCTTCCCCTCCTCGTCCTCTTTAAGGCTACTCGCCAGCTCTCCAACGCTGGGAAACTCCAAATCTCAGAACCGGGGCTCCCTGCCGGCCCGAGTGCCCCGATCCCCGCCGGCTGCGGAGACTGAAACCCGCCGGAACCCCCTCCCCCCACAACGACACCCGGGTTGGAGCGGGGCCTCGCTGGCACTCTGGAAAGCGGCACCCCCTGTGGGCCCTGCGCCCTCTGCGGCGCGCGCGGGCTCCGATCTGAGAAATGCGCCCTGGGCCACAGGCGGCCGAGGGGGCGGGGAAGGAACAACTTTCCCTCCGCCTTCCAACCGCAGGGCCGGGGTGGGGCGGCCTCGCCGGGTCGGGATCCCGGGCGCGAGCGGGCCGGGCGGCTGGCGTGGGGGCGGGAGTAGGGGCTTCCTTGTCGCCCCTGCCCCGCCAGATGTTGGAAAGCACACAATAGGGGGGACGCGGAGAAACAAAAGGCCATTCGCAGTGGGGGTCAGGAAGGTGGGTGCCAGGGCACTCTGAGGAGCTCGGGGTCTCTGTACTTGCTTAGCAGGAGCCGGGGGCGGGCCGTTTACCCTCCCGGGAGGGGTCCCAGGGCAGGGAGGAACAATCCAAGGAAAGTTAAAGGGTTTTCACCTTTTTCCTCATAGAGGGAAAGGGAGGGGCGGGATTGCAGACTTTTGACAGTTGTCGGCCCTGGGGTTCCGCGGGATTTGTAGGTCCTTTACACACCCTTTCCCCCCAAAGAAGCATCCACAGTTCAGGGGCGACCGGGCGGACGCAGCGCCGTTCCCCTCCGCAGCCCCACGCCGAGCCTCTCGCTAAATCAAGGCGCCCCGAA